GATTCCCTGAAGTGACTGAAATTTCTTTTAAGTTCCTCCAATTTTCCTCAAGTTCTCTGGACTTCTTTGAAGTTCTCTGGACATCTCTGAAGTTCTCAAAACTTCTTGAAAGTTCCCACAATTTTTCTGAAGCTCATTGAACCGCTCGTAAGTTCTCATAGCTTCGCTGAAGTTCACAATGTTTTCCAGAAGTTTTTGCCGGCTGCTTGTTTATGAAACTTCTCTGAACTAATGGAATGGTCTTTCATTCCTCGGAACGAATGTGCCTGAAATTTTCCAGAAGTATATAGGACGGCAAGTTCACGCAGTTCTCCTGAAGATGTTCCTGGAACTGATCTGATATAAACTGAATTGCTCATTTTTTAATTAGCTGAAGAACTCTCAACTTCCCTCAAGTTCTCTGGACTGGAATTTGTCGGAAGTTCTAAGAAATTCATGAAATTTTTTTGAAGTTCTCTTAGCTTCTCAGAAGTTTTCTGGACTTCTCTGAATTGTTCCGTATTTCTTGACGGTCCGCACTATTTTCCTGAAATTAATGGAAATGCCCCAATGTTCTCGAAATTTACTCGAACTTCTCGGATCATCCCTGAAGTTCCTGCAATTTTACTGTTATTCATTCCCTAAAGATCTGAAGCTTCGGCAACTGCTGTAAAGTTCTTAAAATTTTCCTGAAGTTAATGAACAACTCTATGATCTTGGTTGAAGATCACGACATTGTTCTGAAATCCATGGAAATACACTGAAGCAATCGGAACATAGCCTTAAAGGTAATTTAACTTCGCGGAAGTTCAGGACGTTCTTGAAGTTATTGGAACTATCCTAAAGTCTCAGGGAGTTCCTTGGAGTTTTTGGAACATCCATGAAGTTTTCAAAACTGATTGAAGGATACTGAAATTTTGCTGAACTTAATGGAACTGCCAACCAGTTCTGGAAATGTTCTTTAAGCTCTCGTGACTTCATTAAGTACTCGCATTTTTTCCTGATGTGCATGGAACTGCCCTGAATTTAACGTTACTTGCCTAAAGTTCTTTAAACTTCTATGAGTGTATCTCAACTTCCTTCTGCTGTGTTCTAGGAACATCTGTAAAGTTTCTGCAATTGTTCCGAAGTTATTAGAATAGCGCTGAATTTTTCAAATCGTTCCGGCTGTTTTCGAAAGCTCCCTCAATTTTTCTAACGTCCAAGGAACTGCCCCGAAGTTCTCTGATCGTTCCTAAAGGTCTTGAAACATTTCCATTAGACAATTAAGAGCACAGATCTAATCTGGATTAGAACAGACCTTTTTTCGTATTGTAGGTTTGCAGCGCAATTTTGCATTTTGGTGGGCAGTGTGGGATAGAGCAATATGCACCTTTAGTTTATTGTACATCCTAATATGTACTCAACCCTGCGTCAGTACATCCCTGCTGTTCTTGGAGATTAGTGTAGACATTCGGTCAGAGTTGAGCTCGATCATCAGTGACGTGGCATAATGCATCGCCTCTTTCGACTGATGACTTTACTGGAGGTAAGACGTGTGTGCTACGAGCAATCCCACATTTCCATATGCTGGGTGATTACCAGTGAGAATCTAAAGAACGAACATAAAGCAGCATATATCCCACGACTGGAACAACCGAGGGAAAGAAGTTTATTTTCCCATTCAATTCTTTTGCTGGTGGTAATCCGATGAACTATATTCGTTCAATGTACACAATTGCAGGTATTTCATTTCCAACGAACGTCAAACGTTGATGCGATGGAGAGCGAAGGAAAATGTGTAAGGATGACCGGTGATTCTGACGATCAGGACCATGCTGAGGCACTCAACGTCGACGAATCCACTTGCACGAACGAAGCAATTCAGGAAGGTGATAGTAGTGAACTCAGCGATGGAAGTATGGAAGAAGAGGGCGACTGTCAAGATGACATCCATCTGGTAGCGATGATGAAGTAATGAAACCAGACCAGACAAAAAGCTCAAACACCGCAACACACGGGTAGAGAAAATCCAGAAACACTCGACAGACTCGAGCGGATAGAGAAATGTATTGCGGAGCTGACCCAAACCTTGGGTGCCTACGCACGCCCGACTACCTCTCGAGACCCAGCACCGTATGAGCTGGAGTCTATCTGGAACGCGCCTAGTGAGTTCGTTGGTCGACCGCCAGGTACCACGTCTGTTGTTCGATGGGATCACATCAAAGCTTTCCCGAGTGGCATTCCAGCCAACAAGATGTGGGAGGCTTGGAATAGATACATCGAAAACTTCGAGATGGCGGCATCTCTGGGAAACGCATCTGATCCAATTCAACGCTCGCAGTTATTGTATTTGACGATGGGCGAGGAGCTCCAGAGCATCGTCAGGGCGGCCAGGTTGCGTCCAAAACTGAGTGAGCCCAACTGCTACACAACTTTTGTTTTGTTGAGGAAGCGAAAATACAGAGCATGCTTGGTTTTCGGCATCCAGCGACCATTTCGGAGCTACGAAGCTTCTTGGGTTTAGCTTCCTTCGTAAGTCCCCATATCCAAAATATTGCAGATATTAGTAGTCCATTGTGGGCAGCAGTCTCTAAAAATGCATGGACGTGGGGTACTCCGCAGCAAAATTCTTTCGATACCATTAAAAACGGATTGCGCAGTGCACTGTATCTCTGGGGTTCTTTTCAAATGACGCGAAAACTGTTTTGTACACAGATGCTTCTCCTGTTGCCTTGGGTGCGGTACTCGTACAAGAGTGTGAAGAACGAGGCCACAGAATCATTAGCTTCGCTTCGAAAGCCCTTACAATCACAGAGAGGAAGTACCCACAGAATCGACGGGAAGCGTTGAGCGCCGTGTGGACTGTGGAGCATTTATCTTATTTTTTACTTGGTAGGCGAATTTACTCTACGAACTGATGCACAAGGCGTAATGTTTATTTTGAATCGAACCAGGGGAAGATTCTAAAAGAGCCCTCACAAGAGCCGATAGTTGGGCGCTCAGACTCAGTCCTTATGATTATGAGGTGGAATATGTTCGAGGCAAGGACAATATCGCAGATCCATCTTCACGGCTCTACAACGGTAGTGACGATCCTTTTGATGAAAAAACCAGTCCCTGGAAAGTACCGGTTGTCGAGGCAAACGCAGCCGATTTTCTGACCGAAAAGGAAATTGTAGATCATACAACTCAAGATGCGACGTTTCAGCAACTGATAGTTTCATTGCAAACCGGTGAGTGGCCTGCCAACCTACGGTGAGTGGCCTGCCACTCTTGCTGTACGAAACGGACTGGTAGTTAAAACAGGGTGTGCTGTAATCCCAGAAGCACTTCGCAAGAAAGCTCTTGAAGTAGCACACGAAGGCCACCCATCTGCTGCAAAGATGAAGACCATAATGAGGCAACGTCTATGGTGGCCTGGGATGCCTGGTGATGCTGAGAAGTGGGTGCAATCTTGTTCTACCTGTGCTATGAACGGCAAACCGGAGAAGACTACACCAATGCAGCGTATTCTTGCGCCGGAAGTCGTGTCGGACACAATTGCAGCGAACTTCAACGGACCATACGCTAGATACGGCGGTATTTCGATTTTGGTAATCGTCGATTACCGATCGCGGTACCTGATTGCAAAACCTGTTAAATCGACCAGGAAAGCGTGTTCGAAAAAGAAGGTTTCCCGAAAAACATCAAGACCGACAATGGTCCACCATTCAACGGAGAGGAATGTAAACACTACTGCGTGGAACGGGGCATTAATACAATCTATTCCACTCCCCTGTTTCCTCAGCAGAATGGCCTTGTTGAAGGTTATATGAAGATAATCAACAAGGCCATGGTTAGTACAACTACTAAAAGCACCAATTTCATCGAAGAGTTGCGTGTAGCAGTGCACGCACATAATGTAGCAGCTCACCGAATCACAAACGCAGCCCCGGAAGAAGTCATGTCTGGCCGGAAGATAAAGTGGGGTCTTTCACCTCTGTGTCATGAACGAGTAGATATAGACGATAAACTACTGAACGAACGGGACCGGAAAGCGAAACTATTAGGGAAGCAGCGCGAAGATAACCGACGGCGCGCCCGTGCATGCCAGGTAATAATAGAGCGGTCAAGTTGCACGAAAGGTGATTCTCGATTCTTTCCTACCCGATATACAGTAGTGGAGGAACGAAATGGAAACCTGACTCTAAACGATAATGCGGGACACGTCTTCAACAGACATGTGTCTCAGGCAAAGAAGGTTTATCCGTGGCGTGGCACCAGCAAACCTGAAGACACCGAGGATAAACATCATCAGCCAAACAATGGTGGAGCCGTAATGCAAAGAGAACACAGAGCTACAAGGGCCCCAAGATACTTGAAAGACTACGTTCAAGCTGTTGGAAAGCAGTGATTTTTTTATTATTTGCTTATTCTCTGGAGCTGAATTTGATTAAAATAAACTAAAGGTGGATATTCCTCTATCCCACAGGCAGCTTTGGTAAGAGGAGCGCTTGTACGGTTTTGGAGCTAGTTACTCTTACGTTTCGTGCCACGATTTTTTGTGAAATTTCAAAGACGCCATTTTGAAAATTTGACACGATCTAAAATGGCCCGAATTTTTGCAAAAATGTCAATAATTGGCCATAACGAACAATTATCCGATTCGTCATTTGTCGTGGAACTGCTCATTCGAGAAACTGCTGGGGTTGCTATTCTAATTTGCGATCATAAATGCGAAAAGTTGCTATATCAAAGTGAGATTTCAAAGGAATTGGAAAATGTCATGCCCCCACAAAACTCGGCGCCCATGCGCCCAATATCAGACAGCACCCCTTAGTACTGTGTAGGACTGTATAGGAGCAGCTTACTTAGATGCAAAAGATTAGCAATGCTAATTTTGACACGTGGTCGCGCTTGAGACTTGAGAGCTCGATTTACATCAATCTAGCAACGATTGTCTCAACCGTTTTGCATGTTAATTGCAGCGATTCGAGATTAATTTAAGACAACCGTAGTTGATAGATCTAATACTCTTTTTTTTCAATTTCTTATTCTAGCACCCTCCTGGAGCTGGGCGCGTCGCCAAACTACCGGGACACCAAGGGTCTCACCCCGGGCTACCTCTCGGTGACGCGCAAGACCGATCCGAAAATCTGCGAAATTCTCCTACACGACCACGCCATCCTCGGAATCCAAGACAGCCAGGGCTGGCAGGAAGTGCACCAGGTAAAAAAACCAGCGTCAGAATCATAGTTCGGTTTCAGCTCGTAACTCGTTTCAGTAGATTTTGATTTTTGTTTAGAAAGGTGATCGGGAACTAAAGTTTTTAGGTATCCAATGTTTTTTGGAGAAGGAATTTTGTAGGTATCCAAGTAGGCGTTTGTAATTTTGTAGTGTTGTTTGATCTAAGTACTCTCCGGTTCTGTCAAATCCTTCTCCTAAGGAAAAAAGAGACTGTTTAACGTTTCCGCGAATACGATTTCAAAAAGTTGTAAGCTTGAAACAGAGTTGCCAATGTTCTAATAATTCTCTTTTTTCTTCTCTTTTCTCTTATTTTTCTTCTACATACAATTTTCCACTGACCCTCACTATCCCTCACTTTCCGGTCCACGAAATAACTTTCAAAAAACTACCACTCTTCCCCGCTGTACTGTAAATCCAAATTGAACGAAACTCTTGAAACCCAAAACCCCCCACACGATTACACACAAACCACAACAACCCAAACAACGATCGAAAATAATTTGTAGGCTTGTCGGAACGGGTTAGTGCATCACCTAGAGCACTTGCTGTTCTACGGTGCGGATATGGATGGGCAGAACGCTTCCGGCAATACGCCGCTGCATGTTTGCGCTGTTAACAATCAGGAGGCTTGCGCTAGAATGCTTCTCTTTCGCGGTTCCAACCGGGGCGCACTAAACTATGCCAATCAGACACCGTATCAGGTAGGATACATACTTTTCTCTTTCCCTCTATCCCGTACTTCTGTTGTAGAAAAGTTCGTAATTAATTGTATTATTACGTGTAGAATTTTCCCACTGTTTCGAACTTCCTTTCCATCCGTATGCTCTCCCATTCCCCCGTCCACATCCACGAGACCTGTACTAAATTTGGGTAACGGAGTAGGCCACTACTGGAATTGATTCCATGGAAACTACTGAAAACAACCTTTCCGAAGATAGCTTTAACAATTAACTAAAAATAATTATAACCTTATGTAAAGATTTAAGACTAAATTTTAAACGCTAAAACCGTTTTGTTTGAATTCAAGTAGAGATTAACAATAACAAAGTCAAACTTATCGACGGTCATCTGTTGGGACGTAGGACTGAGTGGATAAATCCTATTTGTTAACTGCAGCAGGAGCTTGTGTTTTGTGTAGGAATAGGAATTTGAGCGGGGTTCTCTCTGTTTATACTCTTTAGTATGACGCGCTTGACATAGATGGCCCACAGCGTCTCACGAAGAGCTACTGATTCCGATCAATAGCGGTCCGGCTTCTTCTTCCTTCTATGGATGATCATATGGGCTGCAGCTCGCGGCTTGCAGACAGCCTTTCGTTGTGTACTGGAGAACACACCACCAATCACCACGCGGTGATTGAATAAACACCGTTTGGTGAGACCGGATGGAATTCAACTTTGAAATCTGTGTTAGGGAAATTGCTTTTCGCAGGAAATCGGTGATGATTTTAATGCTCATAGCAACAGTTGCACATTCGCGCAATTTTCAATAGTGACATTTTGAAAAATTATAAAAAACTTAAACTTAACAGATGCGTAGAAATATAGCTGATCGATTGGTGATAAAATTATTGAAATTGGTCCAGGGGCTGCTGAGTTATTAACGTTCAAAATCTTTCATAATTTTGTTACATGTTCCATTTTCGGTTTCACAAAGTGTACCCCCATATAGAAATCACAGACGCAGTCCTACGTCAAAAAATAAAATTTTGAATCGATCTTCTCCGATTTGTACGAAACATTGCGTAACTGTTTGTTATGGGTAATCATTCGCATTATTGCTAAAATTCGGCCATTTTGGAAATGTTTCAATTAATTGTATCACAAGCTAACGGCATTCCTGATCGAAATGACGTATGAGACAAATTTGAACTGTGGAAGTGCATCTAGAACACAAAGTTGATAGCACGCAATAAGCTAATGTGAGCTTGCAATTCGAAAAAGAAGAAGAAGTCTGACCCAATCTACTTCCAACTTTTACGGAAATCATAACTTTAATATTGATGTTCTTGTTACTGTCGATACTTGCAACAGCTCTTTTGCAATACTGCCGGTTGCGTCAGAAGAAAATTCATCAGCGACATACAGACAATTTTTATCTAAACTCACAATATCTTGTCGAGCTGTCAAGTTAAAACAAGCCGAAAGAAGTCAAATTGTACACTCGTGCCGCCTGGTGAGTGAATTCTTATCTGTTTTGTCCTTCATCCAATAGGTCTTGTCGATCAGATCAACTTTGCCAAAGATAACTACTAGCTTCTACCTAGTCGAGCTGTCAAGCTCCAACAAACAATTTTAAATCAAATGGCACACTAGTGCCGCCTGGTGAGTAAATTGTGAACTGTAATGTACACCAACTTAGCTGAAGACAGTCAGCTTTTATGTACTTGATCTATCATGTTAAAGCAAGCCATTTGAAACCAAATGGCTATCTGACTATCGCTGCCTAGTGAGTGAATTCTCAACTGAACTATCCAACAGTTTTTGTTAATCTGAAAAACTTTGCTGAAGACAACAAACTTGTATCTGATGCACCATTAAATGTCAAACCACAGACAAACAGACGTAACTCTTCATTGTGTATCTTCGTTCACGCATTTAACGGTTGATTTGAATATTATGAGTTCCGCGAACTACTCGCCGCAGCGCTGGCATCGGATCATTTTGACGTTTCTATACATTCTATAGAAATTTAATGCAATATTGTTTGCGAGTTAGCGAGCAAGCTTGTTTTCCGCGAGAAGCCCGAGAGATGCCGTTACTGAGGTTCTATGTTTTGAAATAATATGTTTTCAAGGATAACTTTTTCAAAGAGTTACGTCTGTTTGTCTGTGGTCAAACGGTACACTAACATCCCTGGTGAATGAATTCTGAACTGTGCTGCCTTTTCCAGCAGTCAAGTTAAACAGGTAACTAAGAGTCATATAGCACACTAGCGCCACGTGGTGATTGAATTCTCAACCAGTGCTGAGATTTGTCATTATCTGTTCTGTTTATTAATTTATTTAATAAGGCTCAACCGAATTAACTTTACAGAGCTGAGGATTCTTGGTTACTATACAATACATCTTAAAATTATGGTCAAAAGGTACAACACAATAAACACTTTATCTTCCGCTACCCAAAAAGCCTCCTCCACAAGAACTGGAGCCGCTTCCAGTGGTTTCATTGTATGGCAGTATCGCCAACGGGGGGCAGAGCGCTTCCATTGCAGCAATGGACGCAAAACGTGGTCAGCACTCACACACTCATCACTAAACGGTTGCAGTAAGGAGGACCACACAATGGTTGCTGCCGAGAAAACAGACGATCGCGTGGCACACATCGAGAGTGGCCTGCTTTTGTCGACAGCCGAGTGAACACTGATTTGTCATTGTCATTGACAGACTTTTGCGCGATATTGACCAAATTGTCACCCCAATAATCACTGACAAACTTGATCATCAAAAAAACCTTCGTCAAAATCTCATTAATTTTTTCGTCAATAACAAAGATTCAGCTGGCAAACAAAAATGTCATTTCGTGCATTCTGTGTCACATTATGGTTATCCAGGCAATTCAGAACGTAGATGCTTGTTCACTTGAATGGCTCGATGTAATTGTTTTGTACTTAAGTAATAAGCAAAATTTCGTTACAAATTTAGTTTTTTTTTTCTTTAATTTATTTGATAAGGCTCAATCGAATTAACTTTACAGAGCCGAGGATTCACCATACAAAACATCGTAAAACTATAGTCAAAAGATGAACACTATCCAAAAAGCCTCCTCCATCACAATGGATTCCAGTGGTTTCATTGTATGGCAGTATCGCCAAAGGGAGGGGGCAGAGCGCTTCCATTGCAGCAGTGGACGCAAAACGTGGTCAGCACTCGCACACTCATCACGAAACTGTTGCTTTCCAAGGTCGACGACCGAAAGAACTGCTGATGAAGAACAATGAGGAGGACCACAAAAATGGTTGCTGCCGAGTAAACAGACGATTGCGTGACACACATCGAGAGTGGCCTGCTTCTGTCGACAGCCGAGTGACCACTGACAAATTTAGTTAATAAAAAAATCTACACATGGTCGTCACTGACAATTGACATGGTTGGTCTTGACGATGACTGTTAGCTCAAATGAGTGACAAAAGCAGAAATGTCAATATTACCGTGTTTTGTAGATATTTTGCAGCAGCACTGTTCTCAACTAAGTGTTGACCGTCTTGTCGATCTGCAGCAGCAGCAGCAGTGTTGCCAGATATTCCGATTTATCGGTGTTTATACCGATTTTCGAACTTGATCCGGATATACAGATAAGATTTTTCAGAATACTGATTTTTGAGATTTAATACCGATTTTTTAATAAGCAAAATGATTATTGCCTGCTGAACTGTGAGAGATTTTTATCTTTTTGAATAACTCAAATTGTTTTAGTCTGCTCAAACAAAAATGCATCGTTAGAAATATGTTATGCTCTTTATACTCTTATGTTAGAAATGTGTTATGCTCGATACTCTTCCCAAGCAACACACATGTTCTATTGCAGTTTATATAACGTTAATATGACTGATTTTGGTTGTGTAGCAGTTTACTCAATATAATTCTATGAACTTGTGTTAGTGGGGTTTTGACTAATGTTTCCATTTTCTCCCCGTTTTTGGCTACTCAGGAGTCGAGAAATACTTTTATTAAGTGAAAAAATAGGTCCATCAAAATGTTCATTTTTAACTTCCTGGATCTTCACTTGGAACCTTCCTACTGTCCCTTGGTGTTTTCTTCCACCTTACTCCGTAAGTTGTTTTCGGATTCCTCCCAGAAAATTGCTTCGACTTCTTCCCATGGAAGCTTCTTCTAGCCTCGCTCAATACGTTCTTCCGTGTTCTCCCGCCAGTGTTTTTTTCTACTTCCGCGAAATTTTAGGAATGCTTCCTAAGCCTTATTGCGGTTCCATTAGCTTCAGGAAAATTTCAGGAACTTTTAAGAAGTTCTGAAACTTCAGGTAAGACCAGACTTTTTGATAAGTTTAAAGATCTGGAAGCGTAAGTTCCGATAATTGAAAGACAGTTTCATTAACTGCTGTTAACATTCGAGAACCCGGGAATTTCAGGAAAGTCCAGTGAACTCCGGTGAACTTAAGGAACTTTAGACAAAATTTACATGTCCAAAGCACTCCAAGGACATGTAATGGTTTTCAGGATAGTTCCATTTAGAGAACATCAGTTTATTTCAAGGAAATTGCTGAAACTTTGAAGGAATTCCGAGAAATTCAGGGAATTTCCGAAAACCTCAGCAAACACAAGGAAAGTCACATGAACATTAGACAATTTTAAGAACATTTTAAGTGAAGTTCTGTGATTTTCAATGGCAGTTTCGAGAACTTTTAAAAATTTATAAAATCAAGAAGATCAGAAAACTTCAATGCCGATGTTCCATTAATTTCAAGACAAAGGTCCGAATTCTTCAAGCAAGCCCAGAGGCCTTCAAAGAAGATTAGATACTTTCCGGTAGTTTCTTTATAATTAGGGAGGTTCCGAGTACTTCGAGGATTATCAGAGAACTTCAAAGCAGCCCCATTAACTTCAGGAAAATTGCAAGACCTTTCGCTCTACGTTCTTTTCGCTCTACGGATGTTTTCTTTGCTGTGTTGATGCATGCGCGTAGGTACAGTGAACTGGCGCCAAGATGGGAGTATGTATAGGTAACACAGTACTCATGGTCTGCTACTGTTGGTGAGTTATTTGCCGTTAATGCTCATGAAAAGTCCCCTATTTTGCCATAAACAGTGACAAAATAAACAACAATTACGGGCGGATTTGGACAGATTTGGACCTGTTTCATACGACCGAAAGGTGTATGCTGGTCACAAATGCCTTGCCAAATTGATTTCCCACGCAAGTGATCAATCTTTGATATGAATTTCGCGAATAAACACGAAGAGCATTGATTATAGCAAAACTGGCCATATACGTACAATCGTCATAGTTCATTTTAGTAAACGAACTATAACACTTCTTCCTTGTGTGGCACCTATTAGGCGCCTAGAACCGGGGCGTTAGTCTGTCATCATGGTTGTGTCCAACGCACGACCACATTGTTGACGTAGAACTGCTAGATATTTGTTGCTGCTCCATTCACTTATATATTGATAACAAAATAAATGGTTTAGAAACTTAACTCCAATACCGCCAATTTATCCCAGCAATATAACTCTTTCTGTAAAAATGTGTGGTCCTGAGAAGGGCTGATGGTTCGATGCAAAAATTAGCTTTGGTGCGACATCGTTCTTAACTTAAAGCTCATCCCACACCTGCCCGATATCATCCGGTCACAGCGCCTGTGAGAATGTTCAGCACGACGGCAGAAAGAGAGGGAGAAAATCCACCTAATGCGCTCCTGCTTTCTGCTTGCCACGCCGTCCAAAGCGGAAATGAGCAGAGGCACGCTGAGCAGCGCTGTTCTATAACTTCTCAGGTTCAAGCAGAACGATGTGAAACTAATAGCGAATTTGTTTATTATCGGGGTTGGAACCAGTTCCAACCCAGTGCGAAACCGAACTTTTCGTCAGTGCGAACCTCAACCTGAGGTAGGTTTTAAAAACAAACGATCAAACTGACGTTTGTCAGAATACAAGCAGACCCAATCTTGATACCCCATCCAGGTTGGAACTGAATAATAAACAAATTCGCTATAAGTGGACTGGGTTTCGGGAAAAACGTTTTTTTTTTTTTAATAAAAACAGTGATAAAATTATCATTGGTACGTTTTTCAAATGTTTTTATATGGAAAATTAGAAAAGTATTTATTTCAGCAAATTCGTAGAGTTATTTCCTATCGAATGGCGTTTTCAGATTTTGATTTCATCTATAAATGACAAAATTACAAGCGTTCAAAACCTAACACTATTTCGCCACACATTTTATTGATTTGCACCCCAGTCCACAAAGACGTAGTACTACGTCAAAAACACCCCTTGCCAACACATTCTTGAATATATTACAAAGAGGGAGGAGCTTGGAGGGAGTACCACTCTACGACGTAAGAACCACTCACCGGAATGAGCTTAAAAAAAAAATCAGTATAATCGGTCATGACATCTCTGGGATACAAAAAAAATAAAAAGTTTGCCCCAGGCTTTTACGAGTTAATTGAACTCTACTGCCTATTATCCCATATCAGTCCCCTTAATTAATTAATCGATAATATTTACAAGTTGAAATCTGATTCAATGAAGCTTGCATGTTTTGTTATATCAGCGAAAAATATGGCGATCCAAAAAGCAGAACTGTAACTAGACCTCTGGACTGTCGAATTTTACTTTGCCTAATGGAACAAACTGACTTGATGTTGTGTTCACATTTTTCATGGTCCAACTCCGTAGTTTTATCACGTAATATGAAAGTAGATGCCAATCGATAGTGGATAACGTTGTTATCTTAAAATTGACGAAAACCCTAATGGGACTGATATACGATTATAGGCAGTCTAGAAGATTTATAGTGGGTTTTAAGGTAAAGGTCTTTTCGTATGATAAGTTCAGAGGGCTTCTCATGGGTCTTATTGGGCAAATCAAGTCATCTTTTAAAACAAATCCCAGCATCTTCTGTGTTGTCTAGAGTGTATCAACACCCGTCAAGCATTACTCTTTCACCAGCCCATAGGCTCCATCAGCGTCTCACTCCCAATCTCCTAATAACCTATGTAAATATACCTTAACAATTATGTAAAAACCACCCTTTCATATAATCACGAGTTTGCGTGTCGATTTACCAGTGACATTCAGACACAACCGTTGTACAAATAAGATTTTCTCCCTTTGCACCCCACCCACCTAAATCCATCCGCAAACCATCACCAACAAAACAGTTTGTCGTCATCCTTCCTTTCCTCCAATTTAGCATGTTTAGCCGATGGCGAAGAAAAAACCATCAAGTCCTCATTTGCACTCTGACAGACGAGGTTTACTTAAGTGTACATTCGTCAACGCGTGTCTCTTTCCCCCCTTTCCCATGAAATACCAAGCGACATCTTCCGTCCGTTTATCCAACGACCCTGCGGGGTCTCGTTTTTCCTTGTTCGCACCCGTTTGTTATGTTTTTTTTTGTTTTCGCAGCACCATCAACACAAACATCATTATTATCCACACCTTTAAAAAAAAACCTATACCCACATCCACAGCTTCTTCCCCTTTGGTACCGACATATATGAAAGTGTACTAATTGATCGCGTTGTCGCGTTTTTCTTCTCTTCCTATTCTTCCTTTTCTTGCTATGTTTACCAACCATCTTTAAAACGCAGGTCGCCGTAATTGCCGGCAATTTGGAACTGGCCGAGATGATACAAAACTACAAGTGCGAAGATATCGGTAAGTAAACCATCAAAAACGTAGCAACCCGCGCAGCAGAAAAGTGTTTTGAAATCCACACCAAAGCATTTTTTTCTTTTTCTTTTTCGCAACTCGTTAATCGCGCTGTTTTTGCGTTTTTTTTCAAATCACATCGATATCTTTTTTCTGCTCGCATCATCGTCATCATCATAATCTCTTTTCTATTTTAGCAAGTTTAAACGAAAAAAAAATACGTTTGCTCATCATCTTGATTGTGTTGCGTTTTGTTATTTGGCAGATCTTTTTTTTTTGTTTTGAATTCACACACTCGCACTCACTTGGATTCGATTTCGCCTCCACGCCTTCCTCGCACCGATCTTCTGGCATCGGGCGGTTGATAGGGGGGGTGGCGTGAGAACAAAAATCTTTAATCACTTTCTCATTCGGTTCGTCTTTCGCTCATGTCACACGCGCTCGACACATTCACACATACATACCTACCCACAACAACGCAATCATCTTTTTTGCAATGTTTGTTTCTCTCTCTCTCTGTGTGTGTCTGTATATCGCCTCTCGCTAGATGTGCCGTAATTTTTGCTCGTTTTTTTCTTCTTATGCTAGCAGCATTTCACCGTCATTTTTTTTTTGTGTTTTCATAATGTTTTGTGATGTGTTTCTTCTTGTTCTCTTGTCGCACAACACACTTTCTCGAAACGCACATTTACGTTCCATAGCGACGCAGTTGCGCGACATTTCGCCTACTTTGATTCGTTTTCAGTTTTCTGTTTTTAATCATGCACCAGATCCAGATGTGAATGCATTTTCATTATTCTGTCGGCGTGGCGTCCCGTTGTGTCTAATATATATGTGTGTATGTGTGAAAATTTCCATTTTGATCTAAATGTTCTACCACTAGCAGCGAATCCAAACACATAAAGCAACCAACGATACAAACAAAACGGTTGCTACGACTACCATGACAAACTCGCTCTGTAACAAAGCTCGATCCGAGTGGTAGAAGGATAATGATATATTGCTTGCCTGCTTTGTTGCAATATACACGGATGAGGACATAGCTTGATATGAATCGGGAAAAGACATAACAAAAAAATTCCCATTAACACACGTGTATCATCTTCGGCTTTACTTCGTGAAGCAGCTTGCCAACAATTTGCTCGTTTCCTTCTACCGCCCCGAATGAGTCGGGTCGCACGAGCTGCTTGTCATGAAAAAGAACGGTGAAGATTATATCATTATTGTTTTCAACTTCTGACATAGCGTTATTATTCGGTTCGTTGATCGCTTGTTAGTTTGTCATTTGGAGATATTTTTGATTCCTTGACCACTAGAGTTATAGCGGAATGCAAACTTTGTAACAAGGAAGAAATGTCGCTTCTAGAGCGAGGCGAGATAAGGCAAAAAGCAAAACACTCGCAACCGAAGGAATCGTTGTTTTCCTTTCTTTTAAAATATTTACTCTAGGCCACCATTGTTATTGTTTACAAACTGTATGCTCTCTCCATATTATAATACAGACGTGGCGGCGCACATTTCGGGCTGCTTTGCCTGCGCTCTAAAGATAGATATTATGCGTTTCAGTTTCTTTTTGTTCTTCTTTTTCTTCTTCTTCTTCTGTTGTTGATGTTTTTTTTTTTTTCGTTTAGCGGAATGTGTTAAAAAATGAGGTAGATGATAATTAGAGGCCCGACCGAGGTCTATATTAGTTATTTTCACTTACGCTCATCAATCATGCAATTGAGGGTTGTGTGCGCTCGTCTAACAGAAGTGGACAACGATGACAGGTGGAGAGATGACAGCTTGGTGGAAGAGTGGTGAAAACAAAAGGTATCGCTGATTGTCAACGAATCATCATCTTTGTTTGTTGTGAAATACTTACATCAATTAGGTCAGTTGCAAAAAACAAAAAAAAAACTGTTAGCTTATTTGTTTCAAAGTCTGCAATGAACATTTGAAATGTCTGGGAATTATCAAAAATGTCTGCAAACTCGTTTTTGACTCGGTATTAGCAACAATCAATACGAAACTAACGATTTTAAATTGGCTCACTACTTGACTAGCCTATTGGTCCCAAGCAAACGATTAACGTACCCCATTCTAGTCAAAATTCTAGTACTACACTATGTTTGTTTTGATTCGCTATGAAAGTTTGACAGATAAAATGAGGGGTTCGTGTATTTTCCATGTTTCAAGGGGTGAATCGATTAGCTTGGGACCGAAGAGTGTACTAGAGCTGAGCCAAAAAGTTGAGCACGTTATTTTGGGACCTTCTAGTCTTAGAGTTACCTCTATGGTATTAGCATAGAGGTAACTCTTAGACCAAAAGGTCTCGAAGAAACGTGCTCAACTTTTTGGCTCAGCTCTGGTACTCTCTTCCGTCCCAAGCTAATCGATTCACCCCTCGAAACAAAGGAAAATCCACTAAACCCTCAATTTATCTGTCAAACTTTCATATAGAATCAAAACAAACATAGTGTAGTACTAGAATTTTGACTAGAATGGGGTATGTAATCGATTTGCTTGGGACTAATAGCAACAATCAATACGAAACTAACAATTTAAAGGCTCACTACTTGACTAGCCTATTGGTCTCAAGCAAATTGACTAACGTACCCCCTTCTAGTATAAATTCCAGTACTACACTATGTTTGTTTTGATTCGCTATGAAAGTTTGACAGATAAAATTAGGGGTTAGTGGATTTTCCTATATTTCGAGGGGTGAATCGATTAGCTTGGGACCGAAGAGAGTACCAGAGCTGAGCCAAAAAGTTGAGCACGTTTCTTCGGGACCTTCTGATCTTAGAGTTACCTCTATGCTAATAGGCTAGCCAAGTAGTGAGCCAATTTGAAATCGTTAGTTTCGTATTGATTGTTGGTATTAGCATGAGACTAATTCCCCGACGAGTTTGTATCATCTTGACGGCCTTGGAATTATTCACATGATTGATTTTAGAACTTTCTCAAGAATTAACGCACAATCAGAATTTACTCAGTGTTCAGCTTAGAAAATTAATATTAGGTCTAGTTTTTCATATAATTAGCTCCAAAATACACTAGAAATTCATTAATAATTCTAATAGTATTACCCACACATTCCCCGAAGAATTCTCCTGAAATTTCTCTTGGAATTCTTCTCGGCACTCGCTGAGTGCTCTACCAAAATTTGCATACAATTATCCTCCTTGAAATAGCCTTGGAATACACCAAGAAGTATTTGGAATACACCTAAGAATGCCTATATCCTTCGATCTTTTCTTAAAATTTCGAAGGACCTTCCCCGGAGTTCAATTCTCTTGGATTTTTCTCGGAATCCCCTTTAAACTTTCCACAGAATTATCTTTAGATTCTTCATCTTCCTTTGACAATCTAACGGGTGGCAACTAAAATTTTGGAATTTCTTCGAGGCCTCTATGCTCAACAACAAACGAGCTCAGAGAGAAATAAGAGTGTGTATGTGTTAGCTCTTTCTCTCCTCTTTCTGATAGTATTTTCTGTTTTGTTTATGCTTGCTCAGTTTGGCTCAAAATGCCGTCGAAACAAGAAGTATTTCGCGAGCGCGTTGTACAGCTCTACGAACTGCACAGAAATCTCGGCAAAAAGTATACGGTACAACATTTTAAAAGCGAAAATGTTGCGGCTTCGACTGTTTACCATATCCTAAGATCCCCAACAACTGCTCGCAAGCAAGGTAGTGGAAGACCAGATAAAATTATGGACGCAATAGGACAGAGAAAGGCATTTCTAAGCCATGGTTCAAGCCCTCTGGTTTGGCAATCAATCAATATGTGTACCAGCACGAATGTTTGAAGAAAATTTTGATCCCGTTTCTACAAAAACATCATGCTGATGGACAATACGTGTTTTGGCCGGATAAAGCGTCATCACATTACGCAAAAAAAAACACAATCGTTCTTGAATACCCATTCGATCCCATTTGTACCCAAAAACCACAACCCGACAACACCTGCCTCAGTGTCGCCCAATCGAAGATTTCTTCGGGGTTTTGAGCTCCTTGGTGTACAAAAATAACTGGAGAGCCACGAATTGCAAACAGTTGATTGGTAGAATCAAGATATGCATAACAAAGTTGACATGAAGGCCGTACAACGCTCCTGTTCCGACATCAAACGGAAGCTTGGCCGAACATCCGATTACGGACCGTTTTCAAATGTTCACTAATTTTTTTTTCAACAATGGACAATGCATCTTTAATTTCAATAAATCAGATCTTCTTCAAGTATGTTTGTCTTTTTTTGACAGCTTGAGAAAGAAATTCCAAAATTTTAGTTGCCACCCGTTACTTAAAATTATTTTGGAATTCTCCTTAGAATTCACTTGCAGTTCTCTTAAAAATTTCTTTAGAATTGTTCGCAAAATTTATTTGGATTTATAGTCACAACTCTTTTGTTATGTTCAGATATCAGAGTTATAACATGTTATAATGTTTTGTTATCTTGATGACGTTTTTCTTGGCTATAATTATTATAAAAGACCCTTGTAACGTGTTTTTACTCTGTAGTCTGAACAAGGCATTATTAAGTTCCCCTCAAAATTAATTCCAAGTTCTCCTGGGCTTCGTCTCACAATTCAAGATTAACATTTCAAAAAGTCTTATCTGATTTGATAGATTCTCTTTATCGACTATTTCTTTTGATAAACACAGCTTTAAAAATATACCTCGTTTTTTTTTTTTGCCACACAGTTTGATACAGGAGGTTCTTAACGAGCCCCCAAAACGTCAAACACAACAGGGAATGCTGCTTTTTTTTTGATGGGTAGGCTTTCGCTACGCTGCCAAAGAATTGCTGGAAATGTTGGTTTCGATCAATTTTCTCACACTTTAACGATCACATGGAAAACAACCTGCACTAGTGGAAGATTGCCGTAAAAGCTCAACGCAGATGTCGCCACTGCATGATGATGATAATGTTGACAGACTGCATATAAAATTCGTGAAAATTAGCGTTAAATCATAATTTTCATCAAGCCTGTGTAAAATTCTTCCAATACAATATTCGAAT